GGAAGGATCCTCAATTGAGATCCTCCCATCAATGAGGCTCCGTAGTCCAGTTATGCTTCTCGGGATTTCCCCAGTAAAAGAATTGTTAGATAGGTCCAAGTAGAAGAGATTGCTAAAATTGCCAAACCAGACTGGAATTGTTCCTTCCAAGCGATTCCATGACAAATCCAGCAACTGCAATCTGCTGCTACTACTCAACCATTGGGGTAGTGAGCCTGTTAGCCTACAATTTGCAATGATGAGAACCTTCAACCTTTCAAAATGAAGGGTTGGATCAGCGGGCAATTCTTCGTCCCGGAAATTCAAGGTGAGAACCAAAGTAGTCAGGTTCTGGCAATGCTGTAAGATTTTAAGGGCAGATGAAATATTGGAAATGCTGGAATTTGACAGTGAGAGGTAAGAGAGGCTATGAAAATTCTTGAAGCTTTCTGGAATTTGGCCACTAAAGTTGTTCCGGCCAAGATTTAGGTTATTCAGATTCCGACAAGAGGGAAGATTGGACGGAATAGGCCCATAAAACCGATTGGAACCTAGATCAATAGAGGCCACACTATTCATTGCTGAACAGTTAAGATCAATTGAACCCTGCAGTGAATTGTTTCTCACATTCAGCAAAGAGAGGGTTGGGGAAGCCGACAACGAAGGGGGCATTTGACCATCAAAATTATTTGAATGAGCTACAAAATACTGCAATCTCCTAAGTCTGTGGAAAACATCTGGGATAGTTCCTGAAAACAAATTAGTTGAGATATCCAAACGAACAAGGTTAATGAGGTTACCAATCTCTTTGCTCAGCCTCCCTGAAAACTTGTTATCTTGAATGCTCAATCTAGTTAGCTTCTGCAGCCTAAATAAGCCTTGAGATAAGCCACCTGTACATGTGAGAGCATTTGTGCTAAGATCGAGGTCCTCCAAGGCACTACAATTGCCAAGACCTGGTGGGAGAACACCAGTGAAGTAGTTCACAGCCAAGTTCAGTGCCCGAAGCTGAGTAGAATTGTTACAGATGCTAGGTGGAAGGGAACCATTCAAAAAGTTTTGAGAAATGTCAAGAGACTGGATTGAAGGTAAATCAATATCGGCTGGAATGGGGCCAGAGAAGTCATTACAGCTCAAGTCTAAGAGCTCCAAATTTGGCAAATGGAAAAGTGGAATGGGAAGCGAGTGTTTGAGGAAATTGTGAGAGAGATTGAGGGTTCTAATCTGGTCCAACATGCCTAAAGATTCAGAGAGGTTGCCAGCTAGTCTTTTCTTTGGAAGCTCCAACTTAACCACTCTATAGGTATCTATAGAGGAATCGTTCAATCCAAGAGAGGATGAAGAGTTGCAAGTGATGCCTGCCCATTCACAGCAATTTGATGATAAATTGTTCCCCCACCCTTCAATCACAGTTTCTATGCCTTTCATGAAATCCTCCAATGCTTTCAAATCATTTGGATTGCATGTCAGGTTCTGAGAGCTCGAAACCTGAGCTTGGAAGCAAAACCCAATAACAATGATGACCACCCAGAAGTCTTGAGCACCCATATCAAAGAAACACTCAACACAGGGCCACGAGAGACAGAGAGAACCAACTACCAGATGAAGAACAGCGACAGTAATAAAAGGCGAGAGAGAAACAATATGCGCACCTGTCAGATAGTGAAGACTTCAGTTGACCCAAGAAAAAAAGATGGCGAAGACTTGAAGACATTGGCAAAGATGGAAAAAAAATAGTTGACTCTTCCACGCACTAAAAATCAGAGATATTTATGAATCCATTCAAAGTCTAAAATATCGGTAGTCAAAAAATACAGAAATTTCGATAGAAATATCGAGATATTATCGATATTAATAAAAATTGAATAAAAGTTATGAAAATTGTTTTAAAAAAACTTGGAAATTTTTCTTAAAACTTTGGAGGATGTTTATTTAGTCAATTATCTATTACTTTCTCATAAAAAAATTAGAAAGAAATACATTGCGTAATGAATTTAACTGATTTAAGTTGATTATATAGCGAGCTAACAAACACTGGGAGTGTAGAAAATATTTAATAATTAATGAAAGAAGATTAAACACACCATAATCATTTATTTATAATGATTTACTACAATATTTTATACTTTATACATTGCATGGTAAGATATACGAGAGATTTAGTACCACATAAAGTTCCTATAAGGTTTAAATTTGAATTATTTACACTAACACCTCCTAATGTTTTTGGCTTTTCACAAAACTCCTTGAGGTTTTATAAATTACAAGAATGATAAACTGTCAAATACCCCCTAAACTATCACTTTAATTGAAATCTCTGCCCTGAAATCATTTGTTAGCAAATTTAGCCATTGTATTAAATTTATTTGCAAATTTCACCATTGCCGTTAGTTTTTTCACAATTTCATCCAAATGCCATCAAATATAAGGGTAAATTTGACATTTTACAAGGTATTGTATTAATTAAGAAAAATAAGGAAAATGGTACATGTCATCCCTTATCCTCACTTTCTATTTCACTTTCAGACCCACCACAGCCCCAAATTCACCACCTCGCCATAACCTCCCCTGGTTCGAATATGGGATGTGGCTACACTACAACAGACTCGAATGGACTCACATCGAATGGAAGATATCTTGCTACTAGGAAGGTAGGAGCAAGAAAACAACCGCAAAAAAGGAATTAGCAATGGGGATTTCCAAAAGGTCCAGAGGCACACTTCCTTCACTTAAGGGGGTTGTTGCTGCAAAGGCTTGTCTTTTTCCCTGGGTTTCATCACCAGAGCATGCTGAGGCCCTTTCTCTTAGGGAGGCGTTACAATTTGCTGGTGATATGAGCTTTAATCACTTGCAGATGGAGTGTGATGCATTGGAGCTGGTCCAATCGCTGGGCCGTACAACGGCGGATACTTCCTCAATTGGTTCTTTGGTGGAGGACTGCAAAGCGATCCTTGCGCTTTTGCCTACTACTTCCATTATGCATATCTCTAGAATGGCCAACAAAACGGCCCATAGACTAGCACAACTATCTTTAACTCTGACCTCAGCATCCACTTGGTCATGGGATATGGGAAAAAAAACTTTGATGATTTTATATTATCTTTATACAAAAAAATCTCCAAATGACAAAGTTGGCCTTTTAGATTAGATTGTATATACTTCATTGAGGTTAATTTTGTCATTTGGATAAGTTTTTTTTTTCAATGAAATCCTCAATTTTTGGACAAACAATCAACGAAAAAGGGTTTTGTGAAAACAAATTAAAACCTCATGAGGTGTTAGTGTAAATAACTCTTAAAAAATTTCACTATCTTCATCATCTCCATATTATCGATATTATAGTGATATTTTTGTCAAATGTTGCTGAAGTGTGAGAGAAATTATCGATATCGATATTTTTCGATATTATCGATATTTATACAATATGTGTATGAATATATTCCAAAATATCCTAGACTTGAAAAAAAAATATCCTCTATATTTCGTCAATATTATCGATAGTTTAGTTCTTGAATCCATCGTAGAAAAGTTCTAAAACAAAAAATTTCCTCACCAAACACAATTATCCATCAATACTAAGGGTGAACATCTAAAGCCGAAATACCGAAACCGTACACTAACCAAAAAATTTCTCTCTTGTGCAATTATCACTTTTTTCCAGCAACTACAACAACTCTCCCTTTTTGAATTACTGGATCTAAATCTCATGAAGCTCTATTTTATTTTCCTCTTAGTTGATTATTTCTCAAAACGAGATTGATTTCCCTTATATTTCCTTTCTTCTTCTTTATTTCTGGGTTGAATCTTGGGTATTTACTGAAATCTCAGTTTGTTTATGATTTCAAAGTACATCAATTGTGCAGAGATTGTGTTATCGTTGGCCAAAGAGATAGATCTTCTGTTTCGTTCTTAATAGAATTGACCTTCGTTGTGTAAATTTTCTTGGGACCCAGTATTTTTATTGGGTTGTTCGATCTTCTTCTTTTTTCTTTAATTTTATTTAGACATAAATAATCATACCCATAAATTATTTAAATATAAAAAAGACCACCCAACAAGTTAGAGAGAAGGTTAGAGAATTTTAACTATCCAACAAAAATTGCCTTGAAAAATATTCAAAGTCAGCATTTTAATTAAACTTACATTGTTTTTTTGTTTATGTTATTCTCAAATTGTAGTATCAGACACGTTTTCATTGTTTTTATTTTTTGAAACGGTTTTCCAATTGCTACGAGACGCATTCTCCAATCTTGAAAATGCTAATTCGTTTAAAGAAAAAACATTTAAAGAAAAAACAAATAATGAAAGAAGAATGGGCAAAACTTTGACCGGTACTGTTTTTCCATAACTTGAGCACCTAAACTAATGCATTAGTTGTGACTGGATTTGGGCCAAAATTCCATTTTGGAGATTGCCTCACCCAAATCAAATATTTCAAACGCGACAGGCGTGTTGAAAATATTGTCTATTCGCCTTGTCCACACTTAGCTACAAGGTAATTAGAGAAGACCCCACTATTTGTCAATGTGAGTTATTTATTTAATATTAATTTATATTCCTTATTTCTATCGCTTTTAAAGCAAAATATCCAATATGAATATTGAAAACAAAATTAAGGACAACCACAACAAGTTAATAGAAAAAATGAGAATTTTATTATTCATCAATACATTTTTTACTTCAATCAACCTAAAGTTTTTAACTTCATTTTTTACTGTTAGATCTTGATTTATTTTTACCAACATTTTAATCTAACACAAATTCCAATTTACAAAACCAAAATTTTATTTCAGAAACTTAAAATATAATTACACAAAATCAGAACAACATTTAAAAAAAAAACGAATACATATTGAACAAAAATGAAAGAAAAATGAACAGGAATTCCGTTCTAGTGCCACTTGGACTCTTGCCGTGCCAATGGACCAACCTTGCGTAATCATTCCGGATTCCTTTTGTAGACTAGTAGTTAGTCACGAACCTAAATTAAAGGCATTCCTAACGAACCCTTGCATATACATAAACACCCCTACATTCACACACGATTAACAGACGGCACCAGGCTGTCCAAACATGTGTTGTGAAAGTTTAAAAGCCAGAGTGGCAGGGGCATTTTAGTAACTTCGAATCGAATTTGAAAACACCCCACAGATTGCGGTTTAAGTGGGGCCAATGATTTATTTTTTAGGTTGGGCCGGCGACCCAATTGGATAGGGCCCAAAAAGAGTCCAAATGTCTGGACGTGTTTGACCTCTTCTTGTTTATTAAAATATGATTCCATAAAACCTCTGGGAATTTCCTCCATAAAACCTCTCCGAATTCATCGTTCTCTCTCTATATCTATCTAACCCATTTCCTTTGCTTTCTTCGCTTCCCTTTTTGTCCACTCCCTTTCCCTCTTTTATGATCTTCTCCTCTTCCTAGGGTTTCCTGTTTTCCGTTTTCCTAAACAAGAAAGATTTGCATTTCCTTTCCAATAAGGAAAGGAAATAATGGATTCTTCCACCAAAGGAATGGAAAAAAATGCTGTTGAGGTTAGAATTTGTAAACCTGCCGGAAACTTAAATGAGGCACCGGCGAATGGGCTTTTCCCGGAAAGCCCCAGAAAGTGCGAGAAAATGAATCATTCAAATTCAATCCCCAACGGTATTTGTGGAAAACCGGAACAGAAAGATTATGATGATCAGGAAGAAGAGGGAGATCACTTTTCCGAAATTAAGATTGCGAATGGAAGAAATGGTTACCTCGAAGACCACGACGACGCCGGTTCCTCCTCCTCGATGACCGAAAACTCGGACGACTTTCAAACGGTTTCGCCCGAAAAGTCCGAGCACGTGAAATTAGCCGTTGATACGCCCAATACAGAAAACAACGCAGGCGCAGGGATCCTCCGACCTCATGCGCACCTTCCGAAACCAGAGGCACCGCCTGGCCTTAACAGCTCACCCCCAGCTTCTCCAAACGGCGACGCTTCAGCTAACCAGAAGTTCGGCGTCGCCATGCCGGCGATCGGGAAGCTCATCCGAGAGAGAAGCAGCAATTTCTCGGCGGCGTTCGTGAGGAGATTGTCGTCGCTAAAGGATAACAACAATGACACCGAAGAAGATCCAAAATCGAATAAGCGGGACGTGACCGAGTTCAATCTCTCCGGCCTCAAAGTGACGGTCAAGCTCAAGACCGAGTCTGATGATCATCAGCAACAAGGACAAATACTCAAAGGTCGAATCAGCTTCTTCTCTCGATCGAATTGCAGGGACTGCACAGCGGTGCGAAGTTTTCTGAGAGAGAAGGGACTGAAATTCGTGGAGATCAACATCGACGTGTATCCAAATCGCGAAAAAGAGCTTGTAGAGAGGACAGGGACGTCGTCCGTACCTCAGATATTCTTCAACGAGAAGTTGTTTGGGGGTCTTGTGGCGCTCAACTCGTTGAGGAACAGTGGAGGATTTGACCAGAGGTTGAAGGAGATGCTTAGCTCGAAATGTCCCGATGACGCACCTGCAACCCCGGTGTACGGCTTCGATGATCCCGAGGAGGAATGGACGGACCAGATGATCGGGATTGTTAAGGTGTTGAGACTGAGGTTGCCTATTCAGGACCGTCTGATGAAAATGAAGATCGTCAAAAACTGCTTCGCTGGGAGCGAGATGGTGGAGGTCCTCATTCAGCACTTGGACTGTGGGCGTAGAAAGGTACGGACCCCCAAATTTCCCAAATCTATTTTTTACCGTTATTCTCCGTGTTGCGGACCACTGTAACCACTGGGCTCGCGGCTTCGTGTTCTTTTGGTTTGAAATAAATTCCGCGGGACTATTTGGTTACAGTGTGCTGCGTGGCATTAAATTTAATCGCTGGCCTGGCCTGGCCTGCTTCGTATCGAATCGCTGACTAGCCGTAATCTACTAATTACAATAAATAAAATATTAGTAACCGCTAAAAAAATTTCAGCGATACTGGCTCTTGTCCTTTCGGATAAACCTATGAATTCGCTTGGCGTCTTCGACACGCCCATAGCCAACATGAATGATGACGACTATGTTCGCAAAATGATAAAATTAATACTAAAAATACAATTACATCATTGATTAATTAAATTAATAGAGTGGTATTTGCTTAATAAGGTGGGTTACCGACCCAAACCTACTAGCTATTTTTTCGTCATTCTCTGTAGCTACATCTTTTCATTGGATTGAGTAATTTAGTCTAATTCCATTAGATTTATGGAAAACATTATGACATCTACAATATCAAGTGACTGCTATTATTATAAGGAGCTTTCCAGTGGGCCTACTCTCTCTGTTGGCTTTATTTTCTAACGCTCCTCCTTTTGCATTCAATTTTATCCCTGCCCAATGAGGGTAGTTGAGCCAGTCGAGCATGTTTTTGGTTGAGTTATGTTTGCCTTTTGAATGATTCCTTCGAAAACAAGAAAAGGTTCTGAAGGGGTCCCGTCCCCATGAAGGGGTCCCGCTATATATTAAAATATATATATATATATATATATATATGATGTGGAACACACTCAGTCAGATGTTGGCTCCTTTCCACCCATGAAAAAGTAAACGCGTAACGTTTTTTGACATGGCAATGTAGCCCCAACTCTTATCATTTTCCAGATATTTCATAATTGCTAGGAATTGGTCCGAGTTTTCAAATCTAACGTTTTAATTTATAATGATGACGGATAATTATTTCTTTTTAATTTTATTTTCTTGAAATTTATGAAGTTTTAGTTTGGCAGTGTTGACTTCAACAACTTGAGAATTATTCCACATTTTATCCAAGTGCGGCAGCCAAATTTTTTGAATGAGTCCTGGAATCTTAATCTTTTGACTTCATTCTCAGATACACTGAGGGCATTGCACGGACGTTGCACTTATCTCTCTAGTCACAGATGTTAATGAATTGTATGTTAACACATGCAGGCAGTTGAGATTGGGAGGCAGCTAGCCAGGAAGCACTTCATTCATCACGTCTTTGGGTAAGAAAACATCACTTGAACTATCTGAAACTGAGGACATTGGTGTAGTTTTATACATACATATTTATCAGTTTTGAAGATGGAAACCACTTTTATCGCTTCCTTGAGCATGAACCATTTATTCCCAAATGCTTTAATTTCCGAGGATCCATAAGTGATACTGAGCCCAAGTCTGCGGCTAAAGTTGGCCAAAGGCTCACCAAGATCATGTCTGCCATACTCGAGTCCTATGCCTCAGACGACAGGCGCCATCTTGATTACATTGGCATAAGCAACAGTGAGGAGTTCCGAAGGTAAGATCAATTACTGCTTTTCCTGGATTTACTTTGTTCCATTTATAATAAACTGATATTATCAATGTAGTATATATAGATTATAAATTGAAGTAATTAAAAGGTAGTTGCTCTTGGTTATGTCTAATCTCCTGTCACTAACTGTGCAATAAACAGTATACTAGGATGCAGATTCAATTACATAAGCATTTTAGTAGTAATTCTATACGCAGAAGTTTCCCCAGTTTGGTTTACATTGCATATTTTGAAGATATAAATATGATGAAGTGGCTTCCTCTTTGAATGAAATAGTTCGATTGGTTTCATTTGCTTTACTATTTTACTTTCATACTGAAGATTTTTTCAAACTATTGATATACTGATGCTTATTATATGTGTCATCTGCATTGCCAATTTCGGGAACTTCTGTTTTAAGCTAATTCCTTCCTTCTCCTAAATGCAGGTACATAAATTTGGTTCAAGAACTTCACCGAGTGAACCTTTTTGAACTCTCTCCAGATGCGAGGCTATCCTTCTTTTTGAACCTCTACAATGCCATGGTCATCCATGCAGTTATCAGGGTAGGGCGTCCACAAGGTGTAATTGAAAGGAGATCCTTCTTTTCTGAATTCCAATATTTAGTTGGAGGACATCCTTACTCCCTCAGTACCATCGAAAATGGGATCCTTAGAAACAACCGTAGACCTCCTTATTCCTTGGTCAAGCCTTTTGGAGCTGGAGACAACCGTACAGAGGTAAGCAAGATAATTAATCTCCAGTTCTTACGTCGTATCCCTCCTCTAAGCCTTGGACAATATAACTGTTCTGGAATAAAATTTTCTGCAGTTTCATTAGTAAAGAAGATCAATTTCTTAAGATTTTTGAAACTTTTCCTTCATATGTAGTCATACATACTAAGGGTTGGTTGGAAGATCAATCTCAGCATGTAAAAGTATCGTAACAGGTTGCAGTTAGTTTGTTTGCATACATATTCTCAATCTCTGACAATAGTACTAAGACTCATTTCATCCAATACAATTCAGCTTGCTTGTGCTAAAGTGAATCCATTAATTCACTTTGGACTCTGTAACGGGACAAGGTCAAGCCCAACTGTAAGGTTCTTCTCGCCACAAGGAGTTGAAGCTGAATTAAGATTTGCAGCAAGAGAGTTCTTTAAGAATGGTGGAATGGAAGTGAACTTGGAGAAGAGGACTGTGTATCTCACCCAAATTATCAAATGGTGAGCCATCGAATCATTGACCTTTTCAATGCTGAAAATAAAAATGTTGTGTGCATTCAGTTCTACTTCTGATATAAATGTTCACGCGCTCTACTTTCTATTGAAAAAAAAATTATGCAGGTTCAATGGTGATTTTGGACAAGAAAAAGAAATTCTAAAGTGGATCCTCAATTACTTGGATGCAACCAGAGCCGGTCTTTTGACACATCTTTTGGGCGATGGAGGTCCTATAAATATTGTGTACCAGAACTACGATTGGTCCATGAGTTCATGAAAATAAGGTGCCGCTGTTTAAAAACTGAAACTTATCACAAGTAATATTTGTACACTTGCATTGGCAAGGGAAATATTGTATATAATACCTCAATTTTGAAAGAAGAATAGAGGAACTGCTGTTAATTTGTATGCGTTGTGAGCCTTCCCTTTGTTGGAAAGTGAAAAGGGGGAGAGGGGCAGGGAATGGAGCCACTTTAGATGATTGTTCAAAACAGGGAAGGTGAAGGCATTGTAATTGGGAACCGGCGATGTTTACTGTTAAGCTTAGCAACATTTTGGGCGCTAAACTGCGTAACGAGATTTCCCTTGTAAATTATTCTTGTGTTATGAATTCAGTTTTGCTGCCTTTTGAATGATATTGGGCTGCACCTAGTTTTGGATCCAGTATAAAACATATGTTTGTTCTGCAACTTGTTACTAATCCGTACAGAAACTGTTCACGTTTTATTTTTATTTATAAAAAAGCCAAGCAAAGCTTATAAAAATAGCGGGCCATTCTGAAATAATTCCTCAAAGATGTCATGAATTTGGATAATTTTCATTCAACTTATATGTGTACTTTTTTGAAATTATTATGGTTCATAACTCAATTTCATGACTTTTCTCGTTGTAAGTAAACATCTCATTAAAAGACTTTCCTCTATTCCTGATCAATAAAACTATGATAAACGTAATAACACTTCCACGTGATAGAGCATTATTGGCCCGGCCATTGCAACTAAGTTTTTCTCCTTATACTGCCCCAAATAAAAAATTCAACTCATATTTATCTCTTAGAAATTTTCTGCACACATTTAGCAAATAGTGGACTTAATTAAATTCCTAAAGTTGCACTCTCACAAATTTTTTCAACTTCATTGAAGTCTACAAAACACTTTTCAATTTCTTTTCCGGATTGCCAGAGGTAGAGCCCATTTTAAATATTACACTGGGCCTTGGTTTCCTTAGTCAGAGCCCGTTTTAAAAATCCAGATGGCCTATTCTAATTCCCTCCTCTTGTTCCCGCCAAAGAACCTGAAAATGGGAAAATAAATCCAGAGAGTGAGTAATGAAATAAAAAGCAAAGTAGCAGTGGTTGGTTGCAGAAACCAAATCAGAAGAAAATGGACAAGGCACCAGCAACCGGATGCTACAAGTGCGGCCGACCAGGCCACTGGTCACGTGACTGCCCTTCCTCCGCCGCTGCCCCAAATTCCAATTCTAACCTCGATCCTAATCCCAATCCCAATCCCAATCCTAACCCTAACCCTAAGCCTACCAATCCCAATCCCAATTCCTCTTCTTATTCTTTCAAGAGCGGTACTGGTGTAGGAGGAAGCGGTGCTTCGAAGGCGAAAAAGGTGTCAGTTCCGAAGACTCGGCCGAAGCTGACCCCGCAGCTGCTTCTCTCAGATGATGGCCTCGGCTACGTCCTCCGCCACTTCCCTCGCGCTTTCAAGTACCGTGGCCGCGGAAACGAGGTCTCATATTCAATTATACTCTTGTTTCTTTTCTTTTGTGGAAGAAAATTCATCATATGATGCTATGAAGTTTTTTGCAATTTTTGCAGGTTAGAGATTTGGGGAACCTAATTGGGCTGTACACCGAATGGCACTCACGTTTGCTCCCATATTACTCATTCGATCAATTTGTTCATAAGGTCGAACAAGTTGCTTCCACTAGACAAGTAAAGGTACTGATCTCTCTCTCTATATCTTTCTTTTTCTTTTTCTTTAGAAACATAAAATAATAGAAGTAAATAAATTCCTTTGGAGCCTGGACTCTGCTTTAATCTTTTACTCTGTGTGCAAATTTTTCTATTAAATGTTTCATTTTTTTATATTAGATGTCTCTTAGAGAATTGAGAGAAAGAGTTGCAAGTGGAGGAGACCCGACAAAGTTGCGTGAACCACCAGTCGAACAAGGCAATCCAAATGATCAACAGGGTATTATGCTCTGTCATTTTCTCATTTTTGTATAATAGCTCTAATTCAACAGTGTATTAGGGTACAGCTTCAACAATGTCTTGAGTGCATATTGCCTGAGTTGTTTGGTATTAATTGGAAAATGCAATTACTCTACTATTGTAACAAAAGACCTGTCAAGAAAATTGAAAAAAGAAAAACACATTTTCTGCAAAAGCTTATTGGAGTAACTGACTGATGAGAAAAGTAGCTCAATATTCATTAATGACTATGGTAATGGAATCCTTAGAGGTTGAGGTTATAACCCAATTAAGAAATTTTTCGTATAGAGTACTTTTACCATGATGTTAGTATGCTACGATAATGGATTGGCTGCTGAGTGGAGCACAAATAATGCTGAGAGAGGAACATCATTGCACCAGAGATTAGTTGTTCTGAATCCACATGAAAGATGTCAGGGAGAATGATATTGATAAGTGGAAATCTACTGCCATTATTTCTATGTTACGTCGTTTTTAAATAATAATAATTAAGTAGGAAGGTCTTCTTTTCTGTATGAAATAATTTAATTAGAAGTTTTTGGGTCGTTCTTCATTATTTGTAATAATATTTTTGTTTGATCAATGATATTTGAACTATTCGCTTTGGAAACAACTGCTATTTTCTATGTTCCCCTGTTGAATTCTGATCCTATTAATTTTCTGCAGAAACCTTGAACCCTGAGGGACCAAGCCATCAGCCGGGAGGTTCGTCTTCAGGGAACCATGATGCTGATGATATGCAGGAAGATATGCTTCACGAAATTTACGAGAAAGCCACTGAAGTATGTGCTGCTATTTTGTTCAATTTAGTTTATTCAATTTTTCTGTGGGTTCATATATAAGCTTGGTTTGTTATGAAGTATGTGCTTGTCTTGAGTGTTTACTACTGAAGATAACCATCACAGGATTCTTTTGACGAAATATGAAAGGCATTTCACTAGAAAATATTGATAGAAAACCTTGTAAAGTTGACGTTTCACTGAACAATGCTGCTGCGTTTGTTGTCCCTAGTATCTGTGTGCAAAAGTTTGATGGTCCCCCTTTGCTTTGCTAATTGTAGGAACCCTCTGAGAATTTGCATGGTGATATGGTTGCTCCTAGTATATCTGCACCTGGTAGTTTTCAGAAAGAATTAACCAATCAAGTTCCAAATAATGAAGCTAGTGAATCCAAGGAAAATCAGATGACAGATGAACAGAGAGCACGAATGGAAGCTAGCAGATTGAAGGCCCTTGAGAAAGCTGCAGCAAGGCGCCGCCAATTGCAAGTGACTTGAGTTTCTGTTTTTCTTCTGTCCTGTTCTAAATTCTGTTTCATTGTGTTGAGCTATGGATGGCAATTGAACTCATGGATAATAGGCATCAAGGCAGAAGTTTGTGTCTTGATATTCTTTGTACGACAAAGTTTTTCTTCATATTTTTGTTTTGTTATGTTTTGTCTGGGGCCTCTCTTTCTTGTAATGTTTGGTCTAGACTGGCCCAGTCTGTGTGGGTCAAGGATGTTGGGCTTCCGTGGACGAGTGTATGTATTAAATTCAAAGTCATATAAGTAAGTAGGGTATAATAATAATATTAGCATTGTTTATTTGTTTCGATTAGTCTTAATCTAGTAGTCTCTCTCAAACTAAAACCAAATATTCGTATCAAATCATCCCAAAAAGCAGCAGCAGTACATAGAGGAAGCTTTGTCTGATTATTTCTGGTCCTAAATCTCCGGTGACATAGGCGGGTGAGTCGTCAGACGAAGACCACCGGCAACCACCGTGGTCTAATCCAATCAACGCCAGCTGGCATGAGCTGTTGGCAAGATACACTCATCCTAAGCATAACGTGATGAGCAGCTCAACCTAACCCTTTTTCTTTTTAACTTTTTTTCTTGTATTTTTTTTTTTTTTTTGTTTGGTTGGGCTGGGATATAACGTGAGCTCGATTGAATTACATGGTGCAGCTTTCTGCCACGTGTACAATAATAATGTTGTATTGAGGAAGGAGAAGAGTGATGAGAGAGAAAGGTGTCAGGTAGGACAATAACTTCAAACCCCTGTAGCCTTTGTGGGCTTGTGGAGGTGGGAGGGAAGGGGGGAAAAAGACCCATTGAATTTAATTCGATAAATAGTTAATAGTGTCTTGTTTTGTCTTCAATTCTTTCACCCTTCTCCCGAGTTAAAAGACAGAGACAGACACTTTCCGACCCAAAAAAAAAAAAAAAAGACAGAGACAGACACTGAGACACCTCCTCAAGCCCTGGCTTGGCTCGGTCAATATAGTCATCTCCCTCTTCCTCTTGGCATTATTATTATTATCAGACTATATGCATGCAGAGTGAGAGTACATAGATGAATTATTATCAGTTAATGATATATTCTTTCATGTATGCAGCTCGCTGCTAGCTGCTAGATTCGTTATTCTTCTCTAATTTGTGTGATTGAAAGAGATCTGGGAAAATCTCTCAGATCTCTGCAGGCATGTGTCATTCTTCTGGTATGTGATTTCCTTCAAGTTTCAGCAATCCGGGTGGACTCGCTCACTCAACTCTGCTCAACAGAAACAAACAAACAGGGCTCCGAGAAGTACTTGGGGAAAGGGGAAAGGGGAAAGGGGAAAGGGAAAAGGGGGGTTTGGGTTGGTGGGTGAGTAAGTTTTGGATCCCATTCCTTCTGAGGTTTCAAGACTGTTAAAAAAGTTAGAGCTTTGAGCAGCCCAAGACCAAGACCCAGCCAAGACAGAGGAAGACAGAAAAATAGAATCTTTATTTTATTGGTCTCAATAATGCCTGGCTACGCACTGCACTGCAGCTTAAGAATATACAAATCATGGAGAGGAGAAAAGAAAGTTTATTTCTCGTCTGCCTCAAGCTGTGTCTGGGTTTCCTTCACGTGAAGCTTACGCTGTAAAATCCCAATTGTAAATGTCCTCTTCCGTGAGTTTTTTCGCAAGCAACGATGCCAAATTGCCAAGCCCCGCTCTGTTTTGGTTTGGAGGAGCCGCCACTGAGCCAGTAAGAGTAAGAGTAGATGAGCAAAGTGATTTTTTGTTTGAAGCTGTCGAATGAATATGCATTTTGCAGTTAAGCTTAGTGATGGATCGAGTCAAAGAATGAAGATGCTATTGCTCTGAAAATGAATCAAATTGGCGAAATGGTAGTAGATCTTGGAGATTTGGGTTTAGAAAGCGATTTGGTAGAGTATCCAAATCAATATATAATAAGCTAAAGACGCAATAAGGAAAGTGTGAAGTGGTGGCTCAAAAAGGGCAACCACCTTTTTTGTTTTCAAGATTGAATAGCTCCATTCCATTTATATGCATTTCAGATTCTCAAGTCTGAGTTGGGCTTTCTCCATCTGATGCCGCTCTTTTTGGCAGCAAATCCAAGTGCATTATTCATATGGTGATCTGAATAAACACAAACCAACTCAACGATCTATTCCACAGATTTTGAAAATGGAGCAACCCTATTGCTTGGTTTCACCTTCATCATCGTCATCATCGTCATCGAGTTACTGCTCTCAGAAAGGTCCTATCTTGCGCTTCTTCCTCTTCTTGTCCTTGTTCTTCTTCTTGTCAGTGGGTTTGGCTCGAGCAGGGGATGCAGAAGCTCTGTTAAGCCTGAAATCAACAATCGATCCTCAGAACTCGTTGCCATGGCGGCAAGGAAGCAATGTGTGCGAGTGGAAAGGCGTGAAGGACTGCATGAAAGGAAGGGTGACAAAGCTGGTCTTGGAGTATTTAAACTTGACAGGGGTTCTGGACCACAAGATCTTGAACCGGCTGGACCAACTCCGAGTCCTGAGCTTCAAGGGCAACTCTCTTTCGGGCCAAATCCCAGACCTCTCGGGCCTCGTTAATCTCAAATCCATCTTCTTAAACGACAACAACTTCTCCGGCGTTTTCCCCGCTTCCATTGCGGACCTGCACCGCCTGAAAGTTGTGGTTCTCGCCGGAAATCAACTCTCCGGTCCAATCCCAATGTCTCTGCTGAAGCTCCGTCGTCTCTACGCTCTGTACTTGCAAGACAACCAGTTCACTGGTCCGATACCCCCGCTCAACCAAACCTCTCTCCGATTCTTCAACGTGTCTAATAACCAACTCTCCGGAGAAATTCCGATGACCCCACCTCTGATTCAGTTCAATGCTTCGTCGTTTTTGGGCAACATCAATGTCTGCGGCGTGCAGATTGACAAACAGTGTGGGGGCAGTGTTGGGTTTCCACCGTCGATGAGCCCAAGCGATCAACCAAGCCCAGCGTCAAAATCAAAGCGTGGAAAATTGATAAAGATAGTCGCAGGAAGCGTAGGTGGGCTCGTGGTGGTCGTAATCTGCTTGGTTCTGGTGTGGATGGTGTGCAGGTGGAGTCGCGGCCGTCGTCTTGGTCGTGGTGGGGAGGCCACCAGGAGCAAAGCCGGGGTAGCTGAGCTGGCAGCAGAGAGAGGATCAGGGGAGGGGCCCACAGGAGGACCAGGTGGTGGTGGTGGTGGTGGCAGGGGAGGTAATAATGGTGGGAAACAAGGGGGGTTTTCTTGGGAAGGCGAAGGGCTAGGGAGTTTGGTGTTCTGCGGTCCAGGGGATCAGCAGATGAGTTACAGCCTAGAGGATTTGCTCAAGGCTTCTGCTGAGACACTGGGTAGGGGTACGATGGGCAGCACGTACAAGGCCGTGATGGAGTCAGGGTTTATCGTGACGGTCAAGAGGCTCAAGGATGCCAGGTACCCAAGGCTTGATGAGTTTAGGAGACACATGGACTTGCTTGGTAAGCTCAGGCACCCTCACTTGGTCCCACTCAGAGCCTATTTCCAGGCTAAGGAGGAACGCTTGCTCGTATACGATTATTTCCCCAATGGCAGCCTCTTTTCACTTATTCATGGTATGTCGGTCATCTACTACTCTACTTATTTGCCTGCTCATTTATTCCTTTATTTCTTCTTAATTGACTCGTTTAATTTATTTAATAATTGCTACAAGTTAAATTTCATGGTTGTCTTGTGTTGCTTGTACATTTGCACGTACGAAATAATTAATTATAGTTGAAGAAAGAAGGTAGAATGTGAGATTAACTTCTGGTTAACAACATAAAATTTGGTTATCACGTTTGATTACTTATTTAGGAGAACAATTATCATACAATAAGGAGAACACTTTTTGCTATCTTCGGCCAATAATGTAATAATGTGTGTGATAACTTTTTCACATATTGTTATGTTATTGATTGGGAATAACAAAACAGTGCTATACCCGTTATTAGTAAGTTTTTCTTCTTATTTAGGTGTCTTAGTTGTCAAAAGATAGGATTATATCAGTATAATACATAGTTTCATTCATCCTTTCTTTTTTATTTTTGGTCAAGATCCATCTTTTTCTTTTCGATTCAGAAGCATCACACAAACAAACTTTGTAACTAATCATTTTTAGTAAGCATTAAAAGGTCATGATTATTGATTTATTGGTGGACCATGTTGGATTTGCCATCTTGATGTAGTGAAAATATGATGTTGACCGGTGGGGATGGGAGCAGTGAATTTTCTTTTCTTTTCCACCTGCATTGTAGGGCCCACCCGTGTAGGTTCCCGGAAACCATGTGTTAGGCCGTCCATATTCATGAGCCTAATAGTTTTGGTGCTTCTGCTTGCTTATATATATAAATAATTTTTGAATATCCATCCTTGAATTTGGGGTGGACCCACAAGTATGCAGTTAGCTTATTCTACACCGTCGAATGAAAATAGTAATAAACTAATATACACTTGTACCTTGCTGGGGACCCCCGCCGGGGGGGGGGGCCTATAAACTTATAATCTCAATGGGCCTATTCCTCTCTTTAACAAACAAAGAAGTAAAGGAGAGAAGAAAGAAATGGAAAACTTGTCCTTGCAAACAAACAAGTTGTGTTGTAGTAGGAGGATTGTGATTTAGAAGGAACATGACATAACACAAACATTTTTGGTGGTGGTGTTTGGGGTTGGCAAGCAAATATTCTGAAAAGTTGATATCATTTGGCATGTGTCATTGTCGTAGACTCGTAGCATATAGATGCATTCTGTATCTTTCTAAGTCAGTACATCGTTCTCCGGGAGATTTTAGGTAAATAACGACAAGATATATCAGATGTGTTTCCTGCTGTTTAGTCTTTACTTTAGAGGGTAATTGATAACTGAGTTACATTAAATATAACAAATCTCAATCTTTGAAAAGTAGTTGCCTTTGCTAATTAACAACTCGTCTTTTAGGCTTTTACTTTTGCACGTTGTACAGTCCTGTACATTTGACCATAACCGAGTGCCTTGGCTTGTAGTTGGTTTTCATAGCTTCTTCAAAGTTCATGTCTTTCTCAGACTTTATGCTCAAATGTGAAAATATATTCCATGGTGGCTTGAACTTAGATATACACTCTGCTCAGCTTTTAAAATAGAATTTCTGTTATATATTTTTATGCTAAATGAGCCCCAAGGCTAGGTAAATTATGACTTTCCTCAACTTCATGTTTTGCATCTAGCCGTATTGGAAGCCTTAAAGGCTTACCTTTCATGCATGATTTATTGCATTGACATACTTGAACTGATTTTACACAGGTTCAAGAACTTCAGGAGGTGGGAAGCCTCTTCACTGGACATCATGCCTTAAAATAGCTGAGGACTTAGCAAGTGGTGTGCTTTATATCCACCAGAACCCTGGCTTAACTCATGGAAACTTGAAATCCTCAAATGTCTTGTTAGGTTCTGATTTTGAATCCTGCTTGACGGATTATGGTCTCACTTTATTCCGAGATCCTGATTCACTTGAAGAACCTAGTGCAACTACTCTGTTTTATAGAGCCCCTGAATGCCGTGACCTCCGAAAACCAACAACCCAACAAGCTGATGTATACAGCTTTGGTGTCCTCCTCTTGGAGCTCCTAACTGGGAAGACTCCCTTCCAAGACCTTGTTCAGGAACATGGTTCGGACATCCCTAGATGGGTGCGTTCAGTGCGCGAAGAAGAGACGGAATCAGGGGATGACCCTGCCTCGGGCAATGAGGCATCAGAGGAGAAACTTCAGGCACTTCTTAATATTGCAATGGCTTGTGTTTCAATTGCAGCAGAGAACCGACCTACAATGAGGGAGGTTCTAAGGATGATAAGAGATGCAAGGGCAGAGCCTCAAGTGTCTTCCAACAGCAGTGATCACTCACCAGGGAGATGGTCAGATACTGTTCAGAGCTTGCCGAGGGAAGAACACTTGAGCATTTGAGTGGTTGGTTGGTAATTGAATTTAACTCAATTGGCGGCCTAAGTTATGCATTTTGATTGATTCTTTCGGGATTTGAACCGTGATTCTTGTTGTACTAGGCATTGTATGTAGAGTGCAACCACACTGGTGTAAAGGTTTTGTTTGTGATCATTTATTCTCTTCTCTCATGTATTGTTTCAGCTAAGTTTAATTGCACTTCTAATTACTTTTTATTAGCAAGGTAATTGTATCACCTTACACAAGTTTTTGGCATGGAGCTTCAATTTCAATTTTCAATTAGTGATGGGTCAGCACAGGTTTCTTATTGGTGGCTGGTTTGCTAAAAAAAAAATTTAAGAAAAAAGCTATTGGCTTGGCTCGTTGTTTGGTTTTTCTTTTCCATTTCTGGTGCGGTTGGTTGTTTGGAGTAGTGTTGCAGCAGAGTAGCTGTTATGCGTGTCCCGTCCTGTGGATTTGCTTTAACATTTATGATTATGAAGAGAGAGAGCGAGAGAGCTTCATATGTGGTAGTAGCAAAGCTGTAGCACTAGCGTAAGCAATAGTCAGTGAGAGTGACAGTGTAGCTCAAAATCGAAAGAGACATGTTAACAACGGAGGCAACAGGTAAAGGGAGCAAGGCCAGGCCGCGGGTATGGATTTTTGCATGTACGCCACCTGTGTGCAACTGCAACTGCAACTGCAACACATTATATTCCACTGCTGACATTTCAACCCTATCGCCAGTCTTCGTGCGTACCGATGCATCCATCCATCCATCTTTACGTGATAAAATAATGAACAGAATATGCACCATTATTTTTGGGCTGAACAGAATATCCACGTGATAAAAGGGAGAGAAACATCTGAAATGGAGATAACCCTACTGTATTATTTTCGAACATTTATGATATATCGTATGTAATAATTTTTTCACGGGACAATATATAATTGGTCAGGATAGAAAAACAGTGTCAGCAATTATATATTATACAAAATCAGTATGATATTATTATTGAATCAGCACTGTTGGATCGATGGGGTTGTTTTTTAAATAGATAACTAAAGAAGAGAAAATAATTAAACAATGTCCAATTGTCCATGAACCTAACCTACCAGCACATATATATATCATATCATATCGGATCCTTTTAAATATGCTAATAATATTATTTGTTATATTTATAAATATGTTGTGAGTCTGACTCGTGAGAGCGAGAGACAGTCAGAGAGAGAGAGAGAGAGAGAGAGAGAGAGAGAGATCTGCCGGTACAAATTCTACTTAATTTTCTCCGTTTCATTCAGGTGCTACGCTCAGTGAGGCAGCGAGGCAGTGATATCTTCTGACGGTAGAGACAGGAGGAGTCTCAAAGATAGAGAGAAAACGAGCGCTTTCTGATCGGTGATCAATTTCTCTCTGTTTAAAGGTTGGAAGGAATATTAAGGAGGAGGGGCACTGGACGACGATCTCCTATCTCTGTTTGCTCTGCTTCATTTCTCAATCTGAGAATAATACTTGTCAATTTTTGGAATGGACGAGCGGCAGACGCCACACCCACAGGTACTCTTCACCTTCTTCTAATTTGCAGATTATTTTCTTTCTTTGTCAATTTTCGGTCCAATTAGGTACCACCGATGCATAACAACAAGATGAAATTAACAAAACAGAGGAATTTTAATGATGCCTTTTTTTTGTTTTATGTTCTCTCCGACTTTGCGATGATGGAGAAGTTGAACTTTGAGTCTGTGATTTTGTTTGGGAAGAAAAATAACAAACTTGAATCATTAGAAAACTTCCATTCATTCCGAATAACTACATTTCAGATATGGTCGTTTTCAAAGTTTCAAATGAGTAATCGACTTTCAAATCAAGCAAACAGTAATAGCGTGATATAACAGAAGCAAAAAAAAAAGAAGCATATTACGTCATGGATGGGCATGTAAGTAAATTGCTAATTTGAAATTCAATTAAAATTTAAAATGTGTTAGTTAGCTGTATTTAAACTGAATGCCCACCATCCGGCAACAATGAATGGAATCTTCAGCGCAGGCAGGTACAATTACACTTACAGCTATAGAAAATGCCTGTTTCTGTTTGAGTCCAAATAAAAATTATATATGTATATATATATATATATATATAGGTGGATCATGGATGGATATCAATTATTGATGCTGTAAGTGTAAGGTTCCATTTCCACCCATGCTGCTAACAGACAAATTTCACTCATCTCACGGACTCAACAGTAGTTGATATTACTGTCTTAATTGCCACTATCTTCGTATGAATCAACAATTATACATAACCAAACATATTCTAATCTTCTTTTTCGTCGTTCGCTACGGATTACAGTACCATACTATTTTATACGCTTAATTAGCTTGATATGAGCAAACAACTAAACAGGCATCATGTGATTAAGCTTAGCATTATCTAATAACAATATTTTTAAGCTTAAAGTAAGAGTATTTTTAGTATAGTGTTTGTTGCCTCGGTTATGTAACATCACATGGGACTATGGAGAGTGGTCCAAGAATTTGGTGCACTGTTCTTCACTTTACTGCTATAGTAAGAAATCTCTACCTTACTGCTTTACTTACTCATCTAATTTCATTTAGCTTTGTGTTAAGTCCTAAATCCAAATAATTAGTTTTTTTGTCACCATGTTTAATTTGGTTGACTTAGTTGTGACAAATTTATTTGGTATTGGCTACATGGGTGGGTGACATATTCAAGAAAGAATATATATAACATACTCCAATAATGTCACAACTTCTGGCAGTGCTTTGCCTACTGCTTTAGGTTTGTCTGTCGTTTCTCAGGGTACTTCTTCTAGTCCTTGGAGCCCTAATGCTAACAACTGTCAGTCAACAACAATAGAAGTTAAGATTAAGAAATTGTAGTCTGCCTAAATAAATGCTAAACATGGTTTTATTCATCAAAAAAGAAACATAAGCTAGTGTAATGCTGTACTCAACTGTTATTTGGATGAGTTTTTCATACTGTTTTAGAAGACTTTTATATTTTTTTGTCAATGTTTGTAGAAGACTTTTATTTTTCTCCAAACACTAGAATCTATGGTACAGTAGCTTACAGATTAATAACTACACCATTTTACTTGTTTTTCTCATTCACGTGTGCTAAGTAAGATGATGTGTTTGTTTTTTTTTTCGGGTGTCTGTGTATTCACCAATATACTACTGATATTTTCTTCGTAATTTAACACAGACTGATACTAGTGCTTCAGATAGAACTCCCACTGTTGTGTTGGATATTGAGAGCCTTGCACAACCCTCAGATAGAAGCTCAGGAAGCCCCAAAATGACTGTAAGTAGTAGTTTCTTTGTTGTCAATTTTGACACTACTTCTCACATGAGATGCACTAATTTACTGGTTGATCTAGCGAGCTTCATCATGCTTTTCTTTAATTTACACAATTTTTTCAACATTTCCTGTAGAGAGCACTCTCAAGAAAATGGTCTTATCGAGCAGAGAGATTTTTTAATACTGACGAGGAAGACACAGATGAACCCTCAAAGAAACTTCTAGTGAAAGGTATAATTTACAGTCATCTATCTATTTATGAAGTCTCAAAAGACAATTTGCAATCTGATTGCCGACAGAGGGGCTATATATCTTCACTTGTTGAAAAGTCATTGTCATATTTTATTCTAATAAGATTGGTGGCATGCCAACATTCAGAATTATTGATCATCTTGGCATATTGCAATTTAAACTTTATGTGTACATGGTCCCCTTGACAGTGAACTCTCAGTTGGAGCCCTTGAAGCAGTCATTGATCACCGCAAAAGCAATCTCGGCAGCCTCAAATGCTTTTACAGGCTCCAATCTCGTTGACACGGGGGATGGACGGAGCAAGAGGTTGAATCGCTTTATGGCAATCAACCCTCGGAAGATTCTTTTCATATTTGCAACACTGTAAGTCCCCCATTTCATTCTCTCGTAAACATGAAAGTTAGAGGTATTTAGTTTGGCGATACTATTTATTCAATGTCCATCAAGTCTCTCAACAAATATGATGATGAGATCATTCTTTTCAAGCATCATTTTGGATGAATGTGAAATGATTGTTTTTATTATTATTTCCTCTTCTGCTAATTAATGTTTCAGTTTATTTGTATGTGATTGTCTGTGTTTGTTGGCTTCAGGTCCAGTATGGGCACATTAATCCTCATATACTTCACACTGGCCATTAATAGAACAGTTTGATAAACCATGGATGGAGCTGTGCTCTGCAGATGATCGCAGCATTCTCTCTCTCTCTCTCCAGTTGGTCTCGGACTTTAATTTTCTGATGCTGCCTTAATTTGTTGGTAGCTGTGTGTGCTGGGGATAACTACTGCATATCCATGATCCATGCTGCAATTTTTATCTAACGGTTGGTCTGCCTCTGCGTGCCAGTTGAGGAGATCAAATATCAGTATATATGATTGTTGTTAAATGATCCAGCGTTTTCAGCTCGCCAACTGCGGAACTTATGTGCATGGTCCAGAGCTGGCTAGGTTAATTTTGCTGTGATTCTTGTTTTCAACGCAAAAGGGTTCTATTCTATACATAAAAAAAACCTGTCAATTCCCAGTCTCATTTATAAATTATAGGGCATCACTCAGGTGTTACCGTTTAAAATAAAAAATAGAAAATACTCCACAAGGTGAAGAAGTATGTAATTAATTAGGCATTTTGAATTAATTGGCACCTCTCTGATATAACTGTTGTACCATCGACATCTCGTTTTGTATGGAGTCATCTAGATTCATGTTACAAGTCAGTCACCTTGAAAGTGAAAAGGAAAGAAAAATGCTTAATCGTGGTTCAAGGAAAATAGAGCGTTATTAGTGCATGTCAAAGTGTATCAAAGTAAGTTCTTATGTCAAAGTGAATCAAAGTATGTTCTTTTCGCTACAAAGGCCTAGGTTTGAGTTTTGCCACCGACAATTCCACTTGGTAGATAATCTGTAAAAACCAGAAAATGAGTTGAGACCCCCTATGTTAGTCCTCAAAGAGGTGTTGGGGTGTCCTGACCTAAAGAAAAAAAAAATTTGTGTATCAAAGTAATTGAAATGGGAAAATACTTGGTAAGATCGCAATCTATGACTACTAAAATTACAAGCACTCCCCAAAGAATCAGTAGTCGTTTGACCAAAGAAAACAAGAATCAATAGCCGACGGTCCATCAAATTTGGAACTCAGCGCTGTGGAACTAAATGTTCTTTCTATGACTGACTACTAAAATTACAAGCACTCCCAAATGAATCAGTAGTCGTTTGACCCAAAAAAAGAAGAATCAACAGCCGACGGTCCATCGTCCTGTGAAATTTAATGGGCCGGTCCCGCCTTTGTTTGTTAATAAGACAGGGTTGTGTCTCAACTTTGTTCAGGTTCGATCCAAACCAATTTCATACTTTTCAGGCGCCCTGAAAGGCAGGGAAAAATGCTTAATAATAGCTTCCATTTACATTTAAAAAAAAAATTGAAAACAATTATGAGGGTGGTGGTAAATAATGCCATTTATTCAAAGGTGTTGTTAAATGAACTTTAAAATTAACTGAGTACACCACCGTATGACATCTTAATATTTAAATCAAAATGTAAAATTAACTAAATACACCTTATTTAATTATCAAAAATATATCTGGTACACTCTAATACACTATCACACAACACTAAACCCTAATCAAACGTTTTATCATTCATGATCAATTTCAAAGGCTCTTTTTTAACGTTTCATAATTAAAGAAACTTTTTTACTACAAGGGATATTCAGGGAGAATCAAATATAAAATCTCAATTTGAAAAGTAATGCCCTTTCGTGATTCCTCTTTGTTCTTTGTAACTTTGGCAATAGCAGTATTTTTACCCCAGCAGAGGTCACCAGAAGTTTGGGGGGTTCCACTGGTTCCTTGGTTGCCATCCTCGTCAATTGCAACAAACATTTTTCTTATAGGATCTTCGGGTCATGAAGCTTTTGAAATATTTGGAATTGCACCGTAGTAATGCTTATTTACTATGTCTTCTTTGGTCTACATGCAACTTATGATATGGCCCATAACTTCATAAGCAGACAAGCCAAAATCCCTGAGAAAGTCGATGATAGCAACATCAGAGAGAAGGCAGAGCCTTGAAATCACAGTACCGTCTGAAATGTTCATTGTAGGAAAGCTTCTTCAGTTTCATTTTATATTATGAAGCAACTAGTTTTGAGAACAAATTATTCTTAATGAAACAATAAACAAAAGTATACTACTTGCAGCAGTGTGCTTATTAAAAACTAAATGAACATCAGATATCGAGGTAATCTTTGTTTTTCGATACGATAATAGAATGCAAGCTCAACATATGAAAAATCAAAACAAATGCATTAATATGTGTACAGAAGTTCAAATTCAAATATAGAAGGTGTACCTGACAACGAACTCACTAATTCTTCTTTGATGGATTTTTTTTTTGCTTATGTTTGATTATGGTTGTATATGGTGAGTAGGGTGTACTTATTAAAATTATATTTGTTTTATAATTCAAAATATCTTTTTTGGTCATTTTATATAAGGATAAATTAGTAATTTAATAAATAATTTGATAGTAAGGTGTACTCAGTTAATTTTAGGGTTTATTTAACAACACCTTTATTTAACTATTTGCATTCAAATAGTTGAGTTATTACAGAATTAAAAAAATAGATGAATTATTCCGAACTATTTGCTTTTACAACTGTGATTAATTAAAGTTGGGTTTGGGGAAAAAGTTGTGATGATTAAGTGGGTTGGATTTGTGAGTTCAAAAGATTAAAGAAAATGATCTAGTATAATATTAAAAGGATTAGGGTCCAAATTCACTATACAAATGAATTTTAAAAACGTTTAAATTTTTTAAAAATAATAATAAGGGGATTGATTTTCACACTCATCTTTTGTTAATTTAGCATTGTTGTGCTGTGAAAATAATCGCTGTTATATTTGCTATGAGAGAAATCAGCTGTGAGATAAAATAGTTTAGCTTTTGATAAATTTTTTGTTAAAAGTGTTGTTGGTACTGATTTCCGCATAATCAGAAAATAAAAGTACCTATTTAGCTGCTTTCCCTTATAGCTTTCTTTTAAAGCAATTTTTAACAATATGTGATTTTCTCATAGTTTACCAAACGGATTGGGCTTCTCGAATTTTTTTAAAAATCACTTATCACTCTAAATAAGCAATACCAAACAAGCATTTGCTCTCCTTTTTATATTATGGCAAAAAGTATTCAGAAAATAAAAATAGCGTAAGTAGACAAAAGAGAAATGGGAAAATCATCACTCCAAAATAAAAAGTTGATGAATAAAAAATAAAGTGTGGAGAAAGGAAAGGTGGAGAGTCCACAATAATTGGCATCAAATGCTTATGGGGATTCGCACTGTTGCTGAATTCCAAGATCTGCAACTAGAAATTAAATTATTCAACTTTAGGAATTAAAAAAAAAAATTGAAAACTAAAATAAAAGCCCTCAACTTTTTGTTGCCCCCATTCTTAGCTTCCCCATTGGCTGAGCTCCAAGCCCTCTGAGCTATCTCTTTTGTCTTTCTTTGGAGAAAAGAGAAAACAAACAAAGAGCACCACTCTCCCATAACCAAATAACCCAAAAGCTTTTCAACAAAACAGAAAAGAAAATGAAAAACAAAAATAATAATAAAGAGAAAGTGGCAGTGAGAGAGAAATAGAGTAGAGCCAGCCATCACTACTACTACTACTACCCAGAAAAAAAAAACAAAAACAAAAAGAAAGCAAAGAGGGCCAATTAGGGCTCCGTCGGAAAGTTGAACCCAAAAAGGTAACGCCCTCTAAGCTTTTCTCTCTCTTACCACCACACGTACCCACTTGGTGCTCTCAGTGCTTTCCATTATCCGCCATTTGGAGCTAGAGGAAGCCAATGGTTTAAAAAAATTTCTGGGTTTTGGTTAGTACTGGGTCGGAGTCGTGCTCTGCTTCTTCTTGTGTTGCTCGAGCTTTCAAGATTGTGAGTTTCAGGGGTTTTGCTTTTTGTCCCTTTGTTCAAGTTTTGGGAATTTGGTTATTGCTTTTGAAATTGCTTTTTCTGCTGAATTTGAAGCTTTTTGTCACCAGTTATCAGTTATGGCGGTTTGGTGTGGTATAATTGAGCTAGCTGTAATCGTCGTTGGGCCATGGAATCTAGGGTTTTGATGACCCAAGGTTCTTTTAATAATTGAACAACCCCAAAGCAGTGATTTTGTGGGATCAAGAAAGAAAGCGTTGGCTATACGCGATGTGGAATTTCAATTCGTTCAGAAAAAATTTGCGTTGATTTGAATTGCTTAGTTGATTGTATGCTGTCCTTTGTTAGAGAGATTGGGATTTAATTGTGGAAAAATAGAAGGAAATGGCGATGGAGTCGAACACGGGGTTTCACCACGACGAAACTTTCGGGTACGGTTTGAACCGACACGCGATATCATTCCAGTCTGGGGCCATAAACAGCACCTCGGATATGATTCCGATGGGGAATTACTTTGGGACGGATGGGGGCATGATGTTCTCTGCGAATTCGGGTATCATTAACAACAACCCTGTAATTAGTCAATCTGGGAATTCATCAGGTTCTCTTCTTCTCGATTCGGTGCCCGGGCTCAAGCATGACACAGGCTTGGCTGTTGAGTGGTCTGTGGAGGAACAATACAAATTGGAGGAGGGCCTTGTCAAGTAGGTCATTCAGAATCTTATCTTTTATTAAATTTAATTTTGTCATGTATGTATGTGTTTAAGTGCCCCAATTACGTATAATTTCCTGTTACTTGGATGTTCATGCTGTTTTTGTCCTCTCCCTGTTGCTAAACTACTTTTAGTCATGATCAGCCGGAAGTTGTGACAAACTTTCCGGCGCAAATAGGTTTTGTTGTTGATGGAGTCTCCTATTGTCTGCACTCTGTGGAACAAACTGCAAATTCTGTGGGCATCCTCATATTGGCATAATATATATATGTTTTCTTTGTCTTAAACCATAACTTTATGGCCTCTCATCGTGCTCATAATGTTGTGGGGTCTTTCACTCTTTGCCATTATTATCAGTGTTTCTCATTCCTGCAACGTAGAACTTGCAATGCTATTGTTATGCTCTAATAGCCCAGTCTGTTTCACATGTCTGTTTGTTATGTTCATAATTTCCTTTGTGATGTGGATTGAATTTCTTTCACTTCACTTTATGTTGCATAGTTGGTATCTTACTATGGCGGGTTTCATCTAGGTTTTGTTTTAAAGTTTAATATTTCTGTGCCATCTTTAAAAAAAAATGTAGATATGCCGAGGAACCAAGTATTATGAGGTACATAAAGATTGCGGCAACATTGCGTGATAAAACTGTGCGTGATGTTGCTTTGAGGTGTAGATGGATGACGGTAAGCTCTTTACTCTTCCTAATGCGGTTTGTTCGTTACTTTGGAGATTTGTGTTATCTGTTTACTTAAGATTTTTTGATTGAGTTAGAACTACTTTTGGAAATCTTTTTGCAGAGAAAGCGTAGGAAACCTGAAGAACATATTATGGGAAAGAAGGGGAACATTAGGAAGGTATGTTGGTGAAATTTAGATAACCTTCTATCATTGGTTATTGGTTCAATTGTTTTAATTTTTATATTGTGAAGTGTCATTCAATTCATGGCTCTGAGATTGAACATTACTGTATGTATCATCATTGGTGAACCTTGAAAAAAAGAACTATTTTGCATGAATGACTTTTTATGTAATGTTGGCTTGAGTTGTGCTCCAACTCCGTTACGTAAGCTATAACACCAGAAATGGGATTTTGGTTTAGGATCTAATGTTGATTGAAGAACCCGTATTCTAAAGATCATGCTTCTTCAGGATAAACTGATGGAGTCTTCCTCAAAGACAAACATACTGTCAGCTCCACCACTAGACATGGCTGCATATTCTCTTATGGTGCACCATATGGACCATAATGAGCGTTTGCATTGTGAAGGTTAGAGAAACTTCCTTGTTCCTGTTTATTATTAGTTTTCATCTAAGTTACTTAGTTCCTGTTTATTTATAAATTTCTTTTGATAGTTTCGTTGATGTAATTGTTCTTTGGGTACTCTCAGGAATAAGTGGCACAGCCAAGCATCTGTTGGAGCAAAATGCTCAAGCTTTTAGTCAAATCACATCTAATCTTTCTACATACAAGGTCAATGCATAATCCGTGATTCTTCATGTTGAATATTATACATCGAATTTTCATGCCATAGTTCAGGGAAAAGGAGATGCGTGTACCTTTTATGTTTTTATGTGTACTTCATATTATAACAGCATATATTGCTTTATACTCTTCTTCTGGAATTTCACTTTTTGCCCGTTGATCAGCATATATAATGAAATAATTGACTTCATCTAGTTACATATTTATTTTAAGCTGGCCTTTGTTTTGGTCGTTTTTGGACTATCCATTCAATCGATGGCATTTGGTTATGTTAAACTAATGCCTATTTGGTGATTCAACTATGATGATTCTTCAAGAGAATGTCCTCGTATGCCAAAGTATCTGAATCTTAAGATTGTAATGTCAGCTCTCTTCTTTTAGTATGACTTTTTTACCTTCTCACCAGTTCATCAGAATTGAAGAAATAGCTTATATTTGCCCCATCTTGTGTATTATCATTAACCCACAGCACTGGTACCCCAAATTTTTCTTCTCTCATTTTAAAATGCGCTGGCATAAATTTTCTCTGCATTTCAGATGACCATATATTTTCATTAACATAAGAAGCATGTGCTTTTCTGTCTTGCTTAGAGGTTTGCTTCGTTCATAAACAGTTACAGGAAAACATTGACCTCTTCTGCCGCACGAGGAACAATATAACTTCAATCCTAAATGAGTATGTACATATCTTCAATCTATATTACAAATAATGCCAATTTGTGAGACACTTGACAATGCTGTTTCATTATTTTTTTGGCAGCATGAGAGGTATGCCTGGCATAATGAGCCGAATGCCACCATTGCCTGTATCCATTAATGAGGAGCTTGCTAATAGTATCTTGCGTAATACAACTTAGGTAAGTTCATGTGAAATGACATAAATTGAACTCATATATGTCTTACTTTTCCTGACACGGGCACTTGTGAAGGAGGGAGAGAAAAGAGAGAAGGGGGGATGATTGTCTACCCTTTATTTATTCCTGTCATATAAACAGTTAATTCTAGATCATTTCAGCCTGTAATCTAATATGCTATATATGCAAGCAGAGTTGAATATGCTGAATATGAATGAATATGCCTGAACTATTTTTGGATATAGAGTTGATATTTATTTATTTTTATTACCAAATGCAAGCAGACAAATCAAGGTCCTGAATCCTGATGGACTGCCTCATTGTCTGAGCGCAAAGTGTACAAGTTGGGAACCAGAGTTGCAAATATCTGACAAGGCCTACGCAGAGCCTCCTCAATTCAAATCATGGTCTCAATATGTCATTTGATCGTGTAGTGCTCCATCCCTTGGCTGCATGTGTCGTGTCTAAATACATATTATGTACCCTTACTCTCATTTGTGCAGAAAATAAGTGATATATAAATATAGTTGGAGCTGCAGGCACTTTTTCTTCCTTTTTCTTTTTTCTTCTCTTGTAAATTTCAATTTATAATTGCTAATTGCACCACTTCGCTTATGTTGGGTACCGTGGTTTGATTTGCCCATTTTTCCTTCCACCTTAATGAAACACTTTAAAATTCAATTCTATGGGGAAGAAAGGGTAGTGATTTTCTAATTCGATCCTCTCTCTCTCTCTCTCTCTCTCTCTCTCTCTCAACTTATGTATTGTCTAGCTCCATCTTTGAATGTTTATCGAATGCATGGTCATCCAAGCTTCCTCCTTCCCCATCTCCCAGCCACCAGTCACTCACAATCCGACACAAACATGTCCTATATATATAGTGTAACAAAAACAACCACCACCAAAAAAAAAAAACCAAAAAAAAAAAGAACTTGAAGATAAACTTTTATTTACAGATGAAATTGTACTGTACTACTGGACACCAATTTAAGGCCGAGGCTGCATTGACGACGTGTCGTGTTTAAGGCGCAAGAGCCAGCACCTCCTGTAAGACGACAGCAGCCTGATTGTATCGATCTTGGGTCAAAGGAACGCTACGAATTTTCATTGCATGATCCAACTGCCAAAAGCAACAAAACAAAATGGGTTTGTTATTTCAAGGTAAAAAAAACACCAGAAGGAAGTGAAATGATGCAGCTACAAACAGAAAGAAATGGTTGGTTAATCACCTCTTCAATGGAGCAAAACAATTTGTTGGCAAGTTCTGTGAGGGCCCTCTTCTGATCCCTTGGTGCACAAGAGATCATCTGATTAAGATCACAATACAAGAATGTGGATTTCAGGCGCAGATCCCTTCCCAACAAGTCCCACGACGACTGACCGTCGTTCATCAGATCGCTCCCAATCGACAGCAACTCGAAGGCACACTTCTTAATCCTACAAGCACTTCCCTTCAATTGAACATCCACCATTTTACCATGGCCTACACTACACACATAGGACATGAACCATTTTTCTTAGTCATAGCCTCATAGGGACGAGAAGGACAATGTTTCCCTCATGTCACAAGAAAAGCATATACATCTCCAAATTCCAATTAAAAAGTTGAAGCCTTTATGCTTAAGAAAAAAACAAACTGAGACGACTGTGACAACAAGATATCTTCTTGTATTAAAGCAAAAGCACTTTTGATCAAAGCACAAAACTTTCTGGACAAAAAGATTCTTTTACTACATACAATGCTAAGAATAACATATTCAAACAATAAAATTTCTAATTCCTTTTAATTGCATCCGCATGTTTACTTCGAACGATGCCAAAAGAATATGGCAAGGATTGTTTAAGAACCGAATGAAGTGGTGGTGATGTGAGAGAAAGAGAGGGACGGACTTGAGCTAACCCAGCAAGGAGCTGCTGGAAATTCATTACTATCTCATAATTTGATTGAACCCAGAAGCTTTCATTGAATTCCAACGATGCAATGGAGAATTTTCAAAGGGACTTTTTATCCCTCTCCTCTTTCTGAGGAAGAAAAACTGTTGGAAATATGCATATGTAAATCCACCCCTCAACCCAAGGAGGAGCACATAATCAACATGTTGTTCATCCTATATCAAAGAGATTGAGGCACAAAACAAAACCCAGAGAAAATAATAAATTTAAACATACCAAATTCGAAGCAGTAAGAGAGAGGAACAACGAGAGAGACGAGTCAGTCAGAGTTACCTGGACGGTCTTCTTCAAAACAAGGATGTGTCATATGTCTCTAAGTCTGTACTAGTTCAAAGCAAAGAAATTACAACTTCATTTTGTCTTCCTAAAAATAATATAAATGTATTTAAGAAGTTAAAGGTGGGGACTGCGGTGGTGCGAGAAATATCTTAAAAAGAAAAAAAAGAAAATGGGAATATCTTAACTAGAGTTGGATTAAAAAGTAAAACGTAAGATATACCCAGAGAAAATGATAATGATACTGAAATCAATGGTGCATAACCAAACACAAATGGGGTAACGCGTAAAGCTCTCTTGCTCCAATGCCTCGCCGATTTTCTCTCTTGGATTAGCTCTGCTGCACCTGCACTCACTCTGTCTTATCAATTCCAAACCAATTTACACAAATAACAAGAGTTGTAGCTCAAGTCGTTAAAATTATCTTCTTCTTTTTTTATGTATTTGAAGTTGTGGATGTAATTTTCGCTTTCCAATATCTATGTATTACTTCTTGTGAAATATACGTAAAAAAAGGTTTCGTAAATTTTGTTGAAATGAATACCAGTAAGATTAACTTCCAACTCTACTACTGGTTTAGCGGCTTAAAAAATTAACAGAAAAATAGGTGAGTAATAGTTAGCAAATTATAGGGTACCAATAGAATTTCCCTTATAATAAAAAGAAATTAGGGGAAAATGAAGCATAAAATTTGGAAAACATATCCGAAGACACGCTGTCAAGCCCAGGCCTGAGGCAATAAGCATTTAATAATTGGGCCCAATAATGCGGCGTCGTTTGGATCCTTGTGGGCCGTTGTTGTCGCACTCGCTTGGTTAAATTACTTGTAGAAAAGCATTCATCCCAATTAACTTTAGCCAAGTTTTTACACTCTTGGTCCAATGTCGCCCAATAAGTTGTTTGGAGTCCTTAACAAACCAACGGCCCCCTTAACAAAAGTAGACTAGTAAAACAAAATTCGGACAAACTATTGGGCCTTCATATGAAGACTGCCCAATAATGTGAAGACAAGCCCAGAAGTAGGCCCAATAGTCTGCTACTTCTAAACGAGCCCTAAAGTTGGCCCAATAACTTTTAAACCAGACCATAGGTCACCTAAAATGCTCAAGCCATGCCCCGATTTAGGTCCCAAAATCCATAACTTGGCCCATTAAAGTCAAAACGGGCCCAAAATTCAGCCCAATAAGTTAAAAAGGCCCAAAGTCAGCCTAGTAAGGTGACATGCCCAATAGTCGCCCCGGTAACATGAAAACCGACCCAAATGTTGGCCCAATAATGTGAAAACATACCCAAATGTCGGCCCAATAACGTGAAAGCAAGCCCCAAAGTGGGCCTAATAAGTTGATTACAGGGCCAACTGTCACCCCAATAACGTAAAAACATGCTCAACTTTTGGCCAATAATGTGAAAACCTAAATTTTAGTCCAATGAGGTGAACATAGGCCCAAGAGGGTCAATAGATGGCCCACAAACGAAATTGCCCCAGTTAGCTCAAACAGGCCAAAAATTTGGGCCTAATAACGTGCAAAAGGGCATGAAGCCGGCCCAATAATGTGAAAGCTGGGCCAGAAGTCGGTGCGCGAAGGTTAGGCCTATATAAACAATTTAGTCTAGGCACTATTGGTGTTGCTCCTTAACAAATACGACCGGCGCAATAAGTCTAACCTACGAGGACACGTGATTTGCCAATTACGGATAAAATATGTCATTACGTAGTCATCATCAAATTTGTAGTAATGTTCTTACATTGTTTGGGAATCAAAAAATCAGTTGACTCTTAATTTAGTGGTATGGTATCTCTACTCACGATATTGAAAGCATTCTCAACTCCAAATATCTTTCTTTTTCGCACGTTGATCTAAAAAAATTATAAATAAATAAAAAATCAAGGAAGCCAATAGCCGCTCTTTTTCTTCTTTTTTCGGAAAAAGAGGAAGCCAAATAGGCCCAATTATTATTTGGGTGGGCTCAGACAAGAAAAATTGTTAGCAGAAAAACTAGATAACTCTTTTTCTTTTTCTTTTTTTCTTAAGAAGAAAAGCCCTTAATCACATAATACGTTGAGCATTAACTTCCAAATCAAAGTGACATCAAAAGCCTCTTTGTATTCACCAAATTCCACAAATACATATATTTGCTTCATCAAATTTCCACTGTTGCCTTTTGCAATCAACTGCTCATGAACTCCCGGACAAAGAACTTTCCGTGTTGAGAAAGTAATGTTTTCTTTTTTGGGTCCAAAATTAGAGAAGAAGATTAGCTTTTGTTTTTCTCCAAGTTCCATTAAGAAAGAAGATTGATGAATGTTTATGTCTCTTTTGCCGTCACTAGCAACAAAATTCTCCATCCCAAAAGGCCAAAACGCGTTGTTCCAAAAAGAAACTGTTTCCTGACGTTATTGTAAACGACATACGAATGCAACCAAACCAAAGCATAAGACACACACAGTTTCTTCGTGGGTTTTAGTCAAACATTTAATTAGTTAATAAACCCTAATTCTTCGAGCATCTGGTACTCCGAAAGAAGTTAGCCGCCTGATTGGTCCCTTGCGTTATTTTAATTCAAGTATGAGTCAGTATGGTGGGCTGACACAAGTTACAACATGGTGACTAGGAGGAGGGAGGAGGATATGCCATGCCGCTGTGGCTTTTGGGCGGCAGTGGCACCAGCACACCACAAAGATTGATACGTCATATTGTCGAATTTGGAGGGGAAAAAAGAGTCATCTGGGCGGCACCATGTCTCCGTGGACCAAAATTGCTTATGATTTTGGGGCCCTTGTTCACATGTGTTTTTATTGTATTTCCAAGCAAGCACATGCACATGCAGAGCACACCAGCAGTAAATCTCAGTCAAGTCTATTGGTCATGGTGGATAAAGATTCAAACAAGGGAGATGCTTAATTGGGCTAAATTTAAGGAGATTATGAGTTGATAGGCATCTAATTATTGACACTAAAAAGGGTATTAAGGAAAGGATTATAGTAAGTAAGATGTATTATAATTATTAATTATCAAACAGAAAACAGACTGGTTGGTTGGTGCAATGGTGTTGGTGTTGTTCCTCAAGTCACTCACATGCATTTGTCTTTTGCCCATATGGAACCTCTATATCATTGACATATTGTGGATTTAATTCTCAATTCTCAATTCTGCCTGCCTCTGCCTCTGCCTCTGCCTCTGCCTGCCTGCCCAAAAGATTATAACCATTCAATTCAAAGGGGCCTGAGCTGAGAGAATAGGAAAGATTTGTATAGCCCATGTTTAAACCTCTCCCATGCAGTGTGTATCTGTGATAGCCCAGCAGAAAATGAAGAAGGAAAAAAATATATTAAAAAAGGTGGTCAATCGTCTACCATGTTATGTCACATTGAAATAGCTAGCAGTTTCCAAGTTTCTAGTACAATGATAATTATTATTCCTTAGCTTGGTTCCTAAGGCCGAGGTTGTATGTAAATAAAACGGCAATTTGAAGACAGACAGACAGAGAGAGACAGGTGAGGGTGAAAATGTTGTGGTTGAATGAAATGTGTTGTAAGTTGATAGACAAATAAAATGAATAGAAAAGGGAGATGAACATGATGATGATCACATTGAGAAGAAAACTGAAAAGGGGAGAGAGGGGAGAGGTCCAAAACAAAACAAAAGTCAAATCACCAACTGGGGACAAGTTTGCCATACCAGAGGAAGGGGTCCTATGCATTGAATCAAAACTTTTCATATTGTCCAGAAAGTCAAAAAGGAGGAGTTAGGTTTGGATGCATTCTATTCATCATTTTCCCACTCCTTTCTTATACCTTTTTTTTTCCTCTGTTTTTCCAATTAATTATTTATTTTCAAGATTTAAGTAGCAAGTATTTGTGTCTAGTGTAGACTGAATGACTCAGTCTCCCTCAGGCTCAAGCAATATCAGAGAGAGAGAGAGAGAGAGAGAAATAGTCTCCTTCTGACAATTGTCACAACTTGAGAGCTCCCCCTCTTGACCCTCCTACTCTTCACATTTTGTACTCTTCTTCTTGTGCTCTTTATCCTCCTGCTCCTTCTCCTGCCTTGTATAAGTAACTGACGCAACCTTGGACTCTCTTTGTTCCATATATAAATATACATATATATATATATATATATATATATATTTTCAGCCTGTTCACTTCCATAAACGCACAACTCGAAGTTGAAACCTGCAGCAGCAAATCATCACCAAAGGACGACGAAGACAATGATAGAATCAAACCCACCTCTCCTACACCATTATGGAACACTTGTGCGCAATCCATCCAATCTTGTTCAAGTTGATCAGCAACGCCACATTGGAGGGCTGGTCCCAGCTGAAGAATGCCAGCTTCCATTGATAGACCTTCATGGTTTGAAAAGCCCTGACACAAGGGAGAGCCTAGAATGCGCTCGAGCCATCTGCACAGCGTAGGAGGAGTGCGGGTGAAGGAGAGAGCAGCTCAAGCTGTTTGCTGCACCGTTTGAGAGAAAAGCTACTTGTGGGCTTCTCAACAATTCATACAGGTGGGGGACTCCAACCGCAACGCGGCCAACTCAATACTCTTGGTCCGAAGCTTTTCACATTCCTGTCACCAAAATCTCGGAAGAAGCTTGCTATGGGGAGGACTTTGGTTCTCTCAGGTACGTTTTTTTGATGTTCTTGTTTAATTTTTAAGCAGTCTTTCTTTCTCCTTCTTCTTCCCCCTCAACATTAAATCAAAGCTAATTAAGATTTAAAAGCATTGCCAATGCCATACAAGTAAATTAATTAATCTGATAATCAACAAATCCATCCTCAAAGTAAAAGTAGAAATGACTTGGCCTATCAATTTGAATGTAAGTCACATACAGTTACTTAAAAAAGAAGAAAAGACAAGGCACATGCCACACATGCCACATGATTAATTCTATCTAGCTACCTGTGTAACATTCTGGAACCCCCCAAAAAAGAAGATCAACCTCTACAACTTGTGTGGGGCATGTGGGAAACTGGTCCCTCTAAAAGTAGGTGTAAATGCACAAGTTGCCTTGAAATACAAGACAGTAGACAATGCAGCATGGCAGAGTATGGCTAATTATGGGGCTGCTTCTTTTGTTGCAACAGGGGAGTGATGGAGGAATTTGCAGCAGCCATGTCAAACCTGGCAAAGTTGCTTGCTGGGATTCTAGCGAACAATCTGGGACACCGAAAGGAATCGTTAGAAGACATTTGTGACTCGAGCACTTGCTTTCTTCGATTGAATCGCTACCCGGCTTGTCCGATATCCCCAGAGATGTTTGGCTTGGTGCCTCACACTGACAGTGATTTCCTCACAATTCTTTGCCAAGACCAAGTAGGAGGACTTCAGCTCATGAAAGATTCCAAATGGGTTGCTGTGAAACCCAATCCAGATGCACTCATCGTTAACATTGGAGATCTTTTTCAGGTAATTAATTAATTACAGTCTAATTATTAGAAAGCAAATGTAGTAAATATAACATGTGATGATATAATTAAGCACATGTTATACTTGATTAGTTTAATTATTAAATTTTTAATATAATTAAGCGTAGATTTAATTACTTAATATAATTGGGATTGTTTTGTCAATAAAGGCGTGGAGCAGTGATGTGTACAAAAGTGTGGAGCACAAGGTGATGGCAAACGAGAAGATGGAACGCTACTCAATCGCCTACTTCATGTGCCCTTCCTATGATTCTTTAATTGGGAGTTGCAGCAGCACATCGCCAGAATCTTCTTCCGTCTATAGAAAGTTCACTTTCCGAGAATACAGGAACCAAATTCAACAGGATGTTCAGAAACTTGGCCACAAAGTTGGCCTCTCAAGATTTCTTCTTCAATAAGCTTCCTTTACCTTTACCTTGCCTTCCTCCTAATCCTAAAGGGCAGCAAACCAAATAGTCAATAGTCTACGGTCAACAGTCAACAGTCAACAGTCAACACCTGCTGTCTTGTCTAGAAGAATCCCACCCCTCCCCACACATTTCTTAGTACTTCAACTGTAAAATTATATTTATACTACTCACCATTTGTAATTTTCACTTAAGCAAGTAAGCAGGGGAAGGGAGGGATATCGTACCACAATACAATACTATCCTACAGAGATTACACTTATGTTTCTGCTCCACTTGGAGATTAATACATAAATATATATATATATATTTTATTTTTCCTGTCTTTTTCTTTTCACTTTCATACCAACAGCGAGTCATTAAAATAATTCGCAAAGTGGGCAATATGCTACGAATCTAGCAGAGACTTTGGTACTTACACTAACATCTATGAGATAAAGTTGAAAGTTGAAAGAAGAAATAAACAAAGATGTGATTTGAGAAGCAACAAAGGCTTATCCAATCACACAAACTTAGAAAACACCAACGCAGCTATTGGCTATTGCCATTGCGGAATAGATTTTCACACATGAAAAAGAATGAAATGAAACAGTAACAACACGTAGGAGATAAGCCAATTATGGTGCCAGCCATGGAATCAAGATCAAATCACTACTTACTTTTTACACCAACCAGAATGACAGCCGTAAACATCTCGGATCTCGGTCAACACACGGAAAAGACACCACAAAACACAAATCACACAAGACATAATTAACAGGGTAACATGATAAGCCCTTGAAACAGAAAAAAGAAGAAGAAACTGTACTATCTTCATATGTCGGCGGTTGCAGATAATAAACCTTTTGAAAAGAAGCCATCTCCCATGTTGGCGGTTGCCGTCACATTGAATTTCTACATTTCTACAACCTCCAAGCTCAAACCCTAAGCATCATCAGATCAGACCAAGGAAACTCTATACCTGCTGCTGATTAATATTTACCGTTGCATAGAATACATAAGAGCCTGCGGCAGAACAAAATATTGATATTACTAAGGCCAAGTTAACCTCAAGTCTGTTAGGTAAAATAGAGATTGGGAAAGTGAAAACAATTATGATCGTAATAATTGGAGTAGTTATATCTTCAAGATTAAACGTGGGCAGCTCTTTAGAAATGTCTGCCTAAGTTAAGTGTATCTTATTAATTCAAAGCATTTATTACAGAAAATATCAGTGTTGTTGTATGCCAACTTCTAAGCAGTCAGATAGTATTGTATGCAATACACTTTATCCAAGAATCCTAGAGTTTTGGTCACAAACCAAGGTCAATAGTGGCAAAGAAATACCTAGATGAGCAGCATCTGTGGCGAGATGAAGCGAAGAAGACTGATCGATGCATCTGATCACTCTTCAGTATTATGTATCATCTAAAACTTCTTCTCACTTCGTTGTACTATTAACAGTTTAAGATACCTGATTCAGTCAAGAAACATTGCCACCTTGTCTTTGAGACTGCTCTTCTTCTTCATTATGGGGGCAATTCCTTCTCTAACAACATTACTATGACTTTCTCTAATGATTTCATGGGCAGATGTCACATCCTCTGTCAAAAATCGACTCTCACTCTCCTTCTCGATGGTTTTCTTCATCAAGGGGCCTAAAAACAGATCCAGCATGTCCTGAGCAGGATCCCCTGTTCCACCTGAATTTAAGCCAATTCCTTTACTTGCCAAACTCCTGTTCGGCTTGAAAGTAGTTGTATCTGCGATAAGTGATCTTCGATTACAAATTTGGGCATTAGCAGAATCTTCTATCTCATTACCGGAAGAGACTATTTCTGGAAATCTGCTGTCGGATTCACATTCTTGGTTCGATGCTGCTGCTTCTTGATTTATATTCCTATCAGCTCTAATATACTGCATGATAAAGATAGCAACTTTAGACTTCTATCTCGTGTACTTATCAACATGATATTTCTCTAAGTCAATCTAAACAATCGTCAGCCATAGATAGTGAGGTAATTTTCTCAAGTTGGTGTTCAAGCATAAGATTGTACAATATATCATAATATCTTGTTTATGAATAGAAACCACAGCAATATATCATACACAGATGTAAGAACAGAAAAGATCAAAATCAATTCCCTTCAATATTAAAGTAAGAGCAAATCACCTCTTCAGCAATGATCACTAAATCCTCCACTGTCAGTTCAACATCATCATCAGTCGAAGTCCGGACTTCTAGTTCTTCATCACTTCCACAGCTGGAACCCTTTGCTTTTTCCTTCTTTGGAGCGTCAGATTCCTGAACTTTTCTTCCCCCATGTCCATTACAATTCTTCTCAGGAAAAGTTGCATCACATTCTGCATCCTGTTCATTTGAGTTTCTTTTTCTTCTTTTTGTCTCACATTTTACAAGAACATGTGAAATCTCCCCCAGTGTTTCCTTTGCTTTTTGTCTCTCTGGAGCACCAGACTCCTGAACTTTTCTTCTCCCAAGTCCACTACACTTGTTTTCTGGAACATTAGCTTCATAGTCTGCATCTTGTTCAGTTGATTTTCTTTTTCTTCTCTTTGTCTCACATTTTACAAGAACATGTGAGTTTTCTCCCAATGTTTCAGTTTCATAAGAGGCAGGTCCTTCCTCTTTACCATTACTAGGCTTCCTTACCTGGCCAGCAGAAGATATGCCCAGCATCCACTGTGGTAAACGTCTCCTGCTTCCATCATCTGATTCTGGAGCAACTCCCACCATTTCTTTTTCTCTCAACTAAACTAACCTATAAATTCATTAATGGTTGAAAAAAATATAAGATGGCATCCAAAAATATAACCCTAAAATTATTCAGTTAGCTATTCAATCTTTTAAAATGAAATTATCATATTAACTTGTATTACTAATCGATTCAACAATCCCAAACAACTGAGGAGATTAATTTTGATTGTAATCAAAAGCGAAAACAAAAAGGGGTGATTAATATGCAGAGCTCTGGACTCAGTTCCAGTGTTTTACTTAAATCAGAACCCTAGCAAATTAACAATGCACCAAATGGGTACATAAATTGCGAACTCTTAATTCCGCTTGGTTCCCTAGAAAACAGACAAAACAGAAGGAAAGGGAAAGCGAAACAGAAAAAGGAAATTAAGAAAGTACATACCAGTACAGTACCACGTCGACGAAGTCAACAAGAAGAAGCGAAAGAAATTAGAGATGGTCTGGATGGATCCAAGTTCCCGTCGTCCTTGTGTTGTGGCCTGAGAATTTGACGGTCATAGACTCCGGGAAGTGGGAAAAGCTAAACCGGGAAGGGGGGGGGTATGGGGGTAACTAACTCAATTTGCCCTTAGCCGGGTCGGGTCGGGTCGGATTGGGATGGCCTAAGCTTGGCAAGAAACGATGGGCTTAATTGGACCTGGACTTTGTTCTAAATGTCTAAAACGGATCATCGCACTTCGAAAATAGAAAAACTAAAAACTAAGCAAAAGGACAAAATAGAGAAGAGAAGTATCTGGAGACTTCTGAAAAGAAAATCTGCGGATGCAATTGAATACCAATCGCTCATTTGAAAAAATTAGGACCCATATAAAAACTCTTCCCGAGAATTGAGAAACAAACTTTGCCATCTCCTACTTCCTTCCTTTCTTTCTCTCTTTGTGTGTTCTTGTTATCCCCTCAACTCAAGCTACTACCAGGCTAGCAGAAATGAACATGGCTGTTTCAGGAGGAACAACTACTACGTCGCCCTTTTCCCTGACCAAGATTGTTGGTTTCCCTCCTCCTCCGTCTCCAAGCCGTAGTTGTTCTAGGATTCTGGGTGTCAAGGAAGGCCAAGAAAGATGGAGAGGTGGCAATGGCATGGCTGTGAAGGCCAGGTTTGGGTCTTCCAAGGGTGGTGCTGGGGTCTTGGAGCGCCCAAAGTTTGACCAATCCCAATTTGACCCTGCCACCCAGCTTGAACAAGGTACCTACTTTATCATTTATCCTTCAACTGTCTTGGTTTTCTCATCTGGGATTTTTGTTTTGTATTCAATAGTTGAGATTTGTTATGAAAAGGGGGAGAAAAACATATTAGAAAACCCAACCGCAATGCAGTACTGCACACTGCACTATAATGAGTTTCTTCTGCCTTTGTTTAACGTTGTAATTACAGGAGGAGATATTGGACGACTCAAGGACAAGAGAGGTATTGGGAGTGGAGATGGTTACAGAGTTTTGCTGGTTGATGATGTTCGCCACACTGAGAAATTAGGTAATTTCCTTTTCCTACATGTACATGACATTGATATATACGACTCTACCAGACTTTTTTTACTGCAAGACTCAATGTACTCCTTGGTTTGGGGATTGAATTTTTGATGGCACTCTCGAGCCTTATTCATGAAGGAAGGAGGTGCTGCTATCATCAGGAGGACAAAGGAAGGATGTAATTTTGGTAACTAACTTGGATAATTTTTGTGTTCTTTTGTAGTTGCAAAGGTCGTGCCCCAAGTTGTTCCATCTGTTACACCTGATGATGCAAGAGGACTATTTCTTAAATCAAGGGAAAACGGGGTTGCTGTCGTTATCGTTACAGTAAAGGTAAATTCTCTAGTGTATCTTTTGTAGCATAGCTTTGCATAAATACAACTCTTTGGTCAAGTTTCTTTTAATTCTTGCATCTTCATTGTTAGTTTCTTTTGGGTTTCTTGGCTTCTTGGCCCCTACCTAGAAATGAAAAACAAAAATGGATGTTTTCAGTTTCACATTACATGGGGAAACCTAATAGCACTTAGCTTGACTGATAGACAATGCTGTCTGGGTTGGTAGCTACGACGAGTATATAATAGGAGGGTTGGGAAAGAGATCATAAGATTGAAAACTAGTTCCACTTTTTTGCTACACCGTGTTCTTTCGTGTAATTTGCTCTAAATTTGTTAACAGCAATCTTACAAAGCACAAAAGAAAAAGGGTATTGATAGCAGTACTTTGTTTTGGTTGTCAGGAACATGCTGAATTTTACGCCCAAATGATGATTCGTGGCGGGTTACGATCAACAATAGAACCGGATTCAAATAGTTTGTGAAGCGGTCAACTAAAGATCCTGCAGTTGCAATTTAACAGTTGCATTTATAATAGTGATCCAATTTTGAAGTTACAGCATGCGTTTGGAGAAATTTTTGTTGAAGAAGACGAGAGAGTGCGTGCATTATTTTTTAATATGTAGTATTGTATTCATAAAATTGGGTAGTTCGACAGTTACATAGTAACAC